GGCAAAACCCTAGATTTAGAGTATCAGACGAGAAGGAGATAGAGCAAAGACAGCTTGAGTCGTTGTAATGGCGTCGACGACGTGCAACTCGAGTTTTTCGAGATCTCAAGCCGTTCAAACTCCATCGTCGCCTCTTGGAATACCGCGATGGTGAAGTAACAATTCAATATTTGGATCGAACGCTGGAATCTCAGATCGATATTCTCATGCTTCGATCGGAGTTGGTGATGGATTTGGATCTGTAGCGGCGACGGCGATTTTCATCGACTACGAAGTAGATACCGTGGAAGGCGGAAGGCGGAGGCAACAGGGTGACGGAGAGGCATGCGAGGTCGTCGGCGTTGGTTTTGCTTTCAGATCTGGTCACTCCGACCAGATCTCCTTTGAAACCCTAGCCATGGTGTCATCGTCTATGTATAAGCAATAGTTGTATCAAACGAAGCTTGAGAGATTGAGATGGTGATTAGGGAAGATTTAGTTGAGGGTATAATAGTCTGATACAATATTTAAATAGTAAATTTTGTCCTCTATAAAAGATTTTATAATTATGAGAGAGTATTAAAAGTATAATTTTTTCTTGGTCCTTTTAACAATAAAAAGGAAGATAATAGGGGTTTATAGCCAAATTTCCCAAAATAAAAAAAAATGATTAAAATTTTAAAAATATTCACTAAAAACACAAAAAACAAAAAACTCAATTTTTAAAAAAATTGAAACCAAACACATTAAATATTTTTAAAATGTAATAATTGTACTATAAAAAAAAATTAAGGCAACTTTTGGTTTACTTTTCAAAATTCAATTCTGATTTTAAAATCATGATTTGGATGAAACATGTTAACAAAACATATTTTTAAAATACAATTTAAAATTACTTTCAAAACTTCTTTCTTCTCTTATTTATTTATTATTATTATTCAATCAACCAATCACTTTTCTCTCTCATCTCTCATCTCTCATCCCCCATCTCCTATGAAATTTTCTCACATTCTATACATCAATCAATCAAAAAAAATTACAAATCATCCCAAAACTATTTTCAAAACTTGCAACCAAACAAATTTTAGGCTGCGTTTGGTTGTGTTTTGTAAATGTGATTTGAGAGTATGAGTTGTATTTTGAGTTTGTGGGTTGTAGAATTATGATTTGAGTGTAGAAAATTTGTTTGATTATGATTTTTAAATAAAGTATTGAACTGTATTTTGAAGATGTATTTTGAATTAAGTTTAAAAAGTTTTATGTGACATGTGAAAGGTGAAAATTTTTTTGGTGATGTGTTTTGAAAATAGTTTTCAAAACTTAATTCAACCAATAATTTATCATCAAACACACAACTCATATATCGATATCCATATTTTTTATCAACAATAATAACCAAACTATTTTTAAAATACTGAAATTAAAAATTGATTTTTTTTGTCAATTATTATTTTTTTTGTAATTTTTTTGAATAATTGTTTTTTCGAAATAATTTTTTCATTTTAAAATAAACCTATGTCAATTATCTTCTGCCAATTAATTTTTCTATTAATTCATTTGTAAAATACGTTTTTAATTTTTTTCTAACATTTTGTTAAAGTCAACAACTTTTGAAAATACATATTAATAAAGAAGGAATAAATACACTAAATTTAATATTTTAAAATACAAATCATAACGTAAATCTTACAAAATATTATTAATTTTTTTTCCATTTATTACATGTTATGAATTTCGTCCAGATGTGGTAACAGAAATGCCATGCATTATTGTACCCGTTGAGCTCATATAATTGTGGGGATTGACATACGAAATGACTATTATGCCCCTCTTGACTTAAATGGAAAGTGGTTACATGGAACAAAATATAAAGGGTAAGATAGTAATTTCACTTACTTACTATCTACCCCCTATTGTTTCATAGCTATGTGTTCAACACTGAGGTAAAGAAAAAGGAGTGGCTGCAGCTGTGTACTCAGTACACAGATGTGATATCATTAAAAAAGTAATAATATTAAAAACAAATAATATTTAACAAATAAAAAGTAAAAAAAAAAAAAAAAAAAAAAACGAAAAGAAAGAATTAGGCTAGGTATAAATTGATATACTGAAAAAAAAGGGCCAATGAGATAGAAATAATGAATCGTAAATAGAGTTCAGGTTCGAAATCCATAGATAATTAATATACACCATCTCATTAGGTCCTCCTTCTCTACTTCCATAATTTACAGGTTAGTTTTGATGCCAGTTCATCTTCATATTAGCTTCAGATATTAGCTTCAGACATTAGCTTCAGAGGGAGTGAGGGAGGGGAAGAGGAGGACAACCGGCGGTCATCCCACCCGTCTACCGGCCGGTCATCCCACGAGACATCCGGTCGGTCATCCCAGCCCAGTCACCATTCCACCTCCGTATCTATTGGCTTTGTTTCATATCTGTTCCATTTTCATCTGTTATATTTTCTGATTTCTATTCTAATTTTGTCACACTATCATTTATTTTTCTGATTATCAGTTTCTAAGTTATAATAAACTGTATGAAACAAACCCAATATAAATGAGAAATATCATTCCTTATGATTTTTTTTTTTTTTTTGTATAAAAATTTGTTTTTATGGCATCTGCCTAATTAAATTTTGTCACCAAATTTTTTTATATTTATTTTTTACATAAAAATAAGTTTGTATGCACAAAAATGTACTAATGGTTGATATATTTTTCATACATTTTTCTTACCTCATGTTTTAATATACATTTTTCATACATTATTCTTTCACTTTTGCAATCATCATGCCAAGAACAAAATGAACCAGACCCAAACGTGGTGAATCCTCAAACCCTGTACAACATCAACCACAGCAACAACATCATGACAATCCAAATAATGATTTTTTAACGTATCATCATGAACAAGCCTATTCACATTTTATTAATCGACCAATTGTTACGGGGAGAAATGTGAGACTACCTTCTCAATATGATCCGCTCTTAGTTGGTAAATTAGATACAATGGGATGGTTACCTTTAACTAATTTACCAAATAAGGTATACCCCAGTCTTGTACGATTATTTTATGTTCACTTGACAGCTGGTGACCAACAAAATGAACCGTTCAGTCTTACCTCTTATGTTAAGGGGAAAAGAATCACACTCTCTCTCCGTCGTTTTGCACAAATTATTGGAGTCGAAACAGGAGATTTACAATGTTATTTTCAAAATGAGGTCGCATTAGAAAAAATTATTGATGATGTCACTTAGATTTATACCACAATTTGTGACAACCGATTTAGCGGCACTAATTTACAAGTCAGCCATTTAAAACCTCACCTTCGTATTCTCCATCGATGGATAGTTGAAAATATCATTCCCAAAAAAGGACATTATAATAGTGTTTCATGTTTTCAAGTTTGCTTGTTATATTGTTTTGAAATTAGACAAAAATTAGATTTATGCTTTATATTACTAAAAGAAATGATGCTTGCAAAATTGGATACTTTGAGTGGCCGGTCACTACCTTTTGGAGCTTTGTCAACCATAATTTTCAAAGCCCATGATGTGAACCTTAAAGGTGAAGGATGGATCAGAATCACTTCACCAATTTCTGAGTATACACTGACCCGAGTTGGTGGTGCTGACACCTTGATGGGCTCTATTAATCTTGAAAATGAACCAATACCTGATAAGGAAGAACTCAATGACAATGCCATGCCACCAAATGAACAACCCCATTACTGGACTGATTATTTAGCCTTGGAACAAGAACGGTACAATCAGTGCCTACAATGGGAACAACAAATGGCTAATCAGTTCAATACATTGGGTACTCGGTTTGATGAAATTGCCACCGCTCAGAACTCACTAATTCATCAATTTGGTGAGTTTCGTGTAGACTCAGAGAGACGTGCTAAACTGACAAGGAACCACATTGATCTGATTGACCATCGAGTCACTCAGCTGTACCATCAACATTTCCCTCCACCTCCAACACCACCTGACAAGGATGCTTAACTTGTTTAAAAATCAAGTAAAATGGTTCACAGATATGGTGGTTATATTTTTCCCCCCTTTTTTTTTTGTTTTGGTTATTTATTTGGTGAGTTTTGTTGTGATTGTTTTACTTTTGTTATTTTGTTATAAACTTTTCTATTCACGTAATGAATAACAACGACAGGTTTTTTTTTTAATCATTTAATTATATAGTTATAATGTTATAACAATCTGTACAAAAAGATTATGCATTGAAAAATTTATTTTTACAAAAATTAATAAATAGTACTTCATAAATGTCTACAAAATCCTTCATTTGAATAAAATGAATAAAAATTACACAATTATTAAATAATTTGTCTGCATCAATTAATTTATAAAATTAAATTAATGTTTTGAAATTAAATAAAACAAGTTACAATTTAATAATATTTAATAATAAACATTCTTTTTTTTAATGAAAAGGAAAAAAAAAAAGTTAATTTAAACTTCTGTACATAAAATTATGAAGAATACCCCAGCTTTTACACAAATTATACACCCTTACTTGAAGATGTACCCAGCGAATTTTTAACACATGGTCATATTATAATAACAGAACATAGTTTTAATATAATAGAAAACACTTAAAAGTTCAAAAAAAAAAAATATACGAACATAGAAAAGGAAAGAGAATATGATGGAATGAAAAAAAAAATAATAAAAACCAAATCAGGAATAATGAAATCATCAAACAGTTCAGCCAAGAAGATTTGCTAACACAAGCAAAACAGAACTTCTCAGTTCACTGCAAAGCGAGGATCATGGCTAGGCGCAAATGGGTAGGAGTGCGCATAAAAAACCTTCGCCATTCTTTATGCTTGAACAGTGTCAGTGCCCTAACGTACTGCAACGGTGGTATGTCCCCAAGCTCAAGCAATGCATCTTGACATGCATCAAGGGAATAATCATCACCACCTGCACTTACAGCTTCAGTCTCATTTTCTCGTGCACGGGAATATCCTGTTTTAGCTTGTACATAAGATGTGAAAGTTGCGCACACATCATCAAACCCACTTGACCGTGACTTTTTGGAACGACCACTGTCAGTCTGGCTAGTTGCAGGGCCTCTCTTGTAACTTTTTTCCTTTGCTGGATCGATATACTCATCTCCGAATAAGTCAACAGGAATGGCCTCAGCAGCATTACTCCCACCAGCATCAGCGTTCCAAAATTTGTTTAACATGTCATCTTCTTCTTCTGAGTCAAGGGGTCCTTGTGTGGATGCACGAGATAGGGCCCCTGTGGCACAACAATTTTCAACAATTTCTGTCATTTCTTGAAAATATTCAAACCCTTTTGTCCTAAACTTCTTCACATTTCTGCTAGCCTACAACAACTACAAAACAAGAATTAAGCACTGTACATATCATGAAATGTTTAAAATAAAATTAGAAAATAGTATAGATTAATGGAATACCTTATCCCAAAATTCATCGTGTGCAACAACAGTGCCTATAATAGGATCCCATCCCAGACCGGTTTGTGCCTACAGTCGCTTAAATGTCTGGTAATCAGCTTTCAATCGCTGATATTTTTGGCGCACCTTGACACCTGTATACTGAAATCCATATATGTTGTGCAATTGATTTGCATAATGATTCCAATGCTTAATTGTCCATGAAGTAGTACGGCCCGTTGTTTGATTGTTTCTAACCTCATCTCTCAACATATTTATTAATTTCGTTTCAATTCTGGGCATCCACATTTTGGTGTTCTCATTGTCATCGGAATTATTTCCATCCATCTATAAACACACAAATTATATTTAAACTAGTTTGGGATGGATATACAAGCATAACAGAGTATTTTAAAGTAGTCTGCGATGGATATACAAGAATAACAGCGCAAAATGGTTTGAAGGAGAACACAGATAAAGGAAAAAGAACGGATGATTTTATTTCAATGAAAAAAGTACGTAGCAGATTAATTGAATTTAAATAGCAGAAATATAACCACCAAAAAAAAACATTCAGATAGCAGAAATATAACCACAAATAATAATAAAAAAAATCAGTTAACATCGTGTTTAAATAGTAGGAAACAAATCAGTAAAAGAAAAATTAAGGAAACAAAATCAGTAAAAAGGCCCGGTAGGTTCAAATAGTTGAGGGGAGGACCGGTAGGTTCAAACCATTAAGGAAGAAATGGAAAACTGGAAGACAAAACCGGAAGAGGTGGGAGGACCGGGTGGTTGACCGGCCGGTCAACCGGCCGGATGACCCGGGGGACGATCGGCCGGGTGTCCCAGGCACTGCCGCTTCAGGTTCTGATCAATGAAAGGTTCAAACAGTTCATAATTTAAAATAACAACCGATCTGAAATGGAAAATACGCTTCTACAAATTCTCATAAACTATTTAGGAACTAATTTCAACTTCTCCGAAATCATTTATACATAACAGATGAAGATTGATTTACTGACTATTCTTGAAGAACAAAAAAGTTGAAACAATTCAGGATGAAGGATGAAGAATGAAATCATTTATCGACTCGTCTGAAATCATTTTAAATAACAACCGATCTGAAATGGAAAATATGCCTCTACAAATTCTCATAAACTATTTAGGAACTGATTTCAACTTCTCCGAAATCATTTATACATAACAGATGAAGATTGATTTACTGACTATTCTTGAAGAACAAAAAAGTTGAAACAGTTCAGGATGAAGGATGCAGAATGAAATCATTTATCGACTCGTCTGAAATCATTTTCAGATAACAGATGAAGGATGAAGGATTTATTTACCAGATTAGTGGGAGTTGAATAGTTATCGCCGGTGATGGAATTTGTATACTGATTGAATGTGCCACTGTTTGCTCGTCGGATTCGACAATAAATTTGATAAATTTGACCTGAAAAAAAATAAAAATAAATTAAGATGAACTTCTCAAATAATTTCCCTATAACAAAATATGTAAATAAATTTGTGAGTAATTTCACCTCGCAGTCGTCGTTGTTTGGTTGCCCGTAATAAGAATCGTCCGCAACGCACAAATCGTAACTCAGTCGATTTGTGAAATATGATACCAGTATAGAGCGGGTTGGGTGGATTTATTATTTATAAAATGAGTCTGACTTCTGAAACCCACCTATGATGAATCTGAAGTACGGATGTTTGATATAGAGAAGCCACCCGTGATGAATCTGAAGGACTGATGTAGATGAGGTTCACGTGAAAGTTACAGAGACGATGAAGAAGGCAGAAACGTTGAAAGGAAGATACAAGCTGCCAAACAGATTTTCAAAATGTAATTTGAATTAACACGCGGAATCAACTTTTGAACGTCGTATCCAAACGTCATGCGCGAGCTCACGTATTGAAAATTGATTTGAATTAACAACCAAACAGAGCCTTATATTTTCAAATCATGATTAAAAAATTCAAAACTCAAAATACAACCCCACCCTCAAATCATAATTCTAAAATTAAACCAAACGGATCCTAAATTTTTCAAAAGAGAATTAGTGTGTTTAGTTTCAGTTTTCTGAATTCAATCTTTTGAAAGTTAAGTTTTTGTTATTTGTGTTTTTTACTTTTATTTTTAGTGAATATTTTTTAAATTTTAAATATTTTATTTAATTTTTATTAAATGCACCTTACTTAGATTTATCTAAAAAGTAAAATATTTGTGAAAAAAATATTTTAAAAAATTAATAAATACACAAAAATTAGAAATTATATTGAATTTTCATATTTTTTGTATTTTTGGTATTTAGTGAATTTTTTTAGAGATTTTTTTCACAAAAATTATACTTTTTAAGTGTATTTATGTTAGATGTGTCTAAGTTTTTTATAAAAAAAATTGCTTAAATTATTAAAAAAATCAGTAAAAATAAAAAAATACGAAAAATAAGAAAGTACAATTTTCTAAAAATTGTTTTTAAAAAACTTAAAACAAACATGGTGATTAGGGGGGGCCAGATCGATTTCGTGCAGTTCAAGTGGCGGGTTGGACTCGCCCAATGGGGTGCGGGCTAGGAAAAAATGGAACCACGTCCACTTACAATGCGGGTTGCAAATTAAACGGGTGGGTCATGCGGTTCTACGGGCAGTTTATAAATTAGATTTTTTTTTTTGAAATTTTATTTTTGGGGCCTTTCATATTTTCTGAAGCCATAAAAAAACAAACATAACTAATTTTTTTTTGCACTTCGATATATACATAACAAATAAAGACAGAAAAAGAAAAAAAAAAATAAACTTTTTTTTTAATTATTCAACCCAGCTAGCTTTATCACATACTAGTTACAAGAACCCGCTTTTTTCCATATACTGCTTACCTCTTTGCATCCAAGTATCAAACCATCCATACCCCTCCCTTTCTCTCTCTTCCATCGCTTTCCAACTTAATGAAAACATTTTGTTTTATTAAATAAACAAAACAAGCATCTTCCAAATCTGACAGGTACAAGTATCTTCCAAGTATCAAACATTTTGCTTATTTGTTTGTTTGTTTTTGGCAGTAGATCTTCCAGATCTGGTGGGCAACGGTGACAAAGAGAAGAGGAGGGGGCAACGGCAAGCAACCAACGACATGGCTGGTGGTGACGAAGCAGCGATGGAGTAGGGGTAGATCTGTGAGAGACGACAACGGTAAAAGAGAGGAGAGAGAGATGGCGACGAGAAGGAGATGAAAGAGATGGCAAGCAAAGGGTGAGAGATGGTGGTGACGGCGAGGAGAGTAGAGAGAGAGAGAGAGGGGACAAAAATGAATTCAACATGCGATGGGAGAGAATTTTTTTTATTTTAAACATAATTTGCAGACAGGTCATGCGGTTGCACGGGTAGGATCAGATCTGACCTGACCTCGAATTTGCACCTGCTCTATTTATGCATGTAGGTAAGATCGAATTTGTGCAGGTAGGGTCAGTTTAGGTGGGTTGAATAAACCGTTGCCCACCCCTAATAGTGATTATTATCTTGGAACGGGGAGGGAGTACAACTTTCAATCTATTTTCAGATTCAATCAGAGGGCAATTATGCTTTTATCAAACACGCAAAATTACAAAACTACTAAATATGTTGAAAATGAGCCATATCAAACTAATTGTTCAACAATAACCTCCTGTTAATCTGTCAAAAGTGTATTAAAAAAAAAAACGGAAGCAATAACTACTAAACAATTTGCTCATGATTTCACCTATGCATTGAATTTGTTGTAAGAACTAAACAACTAATATGCAGGTGCATTCCGATGCAAATGAGGGGACAAAAATGAATTCAACATGCGATGGGAGAGAATTTTTTTTTATTTTAAACATAATTTGCAGACAGGTCATGCGGTTGCACGGGTAGGATCAGATCTGACCTGACCTCAAATTTGCATGAAAAAATGGACCTGCACTTGCCCTATTTATGCATGTAGGTAAGATCGAATTTGTGCAGGTAGGGTCAGTTTGGGTGGGTTGAATAAACCGTTGCCCACCCCTAATAGTGATTATTATCTTGGAACGGGGAGAGAGTACAACTTTCAATCTATTTTCAGATTCAATCAGAGGGCAATTATGCTTTTATCAAACACGCAAAATTACAAAACTACTAAATATGTTGAAAATGAGCCATATCAAACTAATTGTTCAACAATAACCTCCTGTTAATCTGTCAAAAGTGTATTAAAAAAAAAAACGGAAGCAATAACTACTAAACAATTTGCTCATGATTTCACCTATGCATTGAATTTGTTGTAAGAACTAAACAACTAATATGCAGGTGCATTCCGATGCAAATGACAAATACACTTGTGGCAAATGCATGATGATCAAGGAAAGACTATTCATGTGGTTTGTGCTTGTAACACCACCACCTGCCACCTGGTTAAAATTAAGATTGAACAAATTATTTGGGAGAGACTTCCAAATCCATATTTCATTTCAAGCCATTCACCAGCTGAATGAATAAAAAATCTTCTTGACAATTTTGGAACCAACTAATTGCACTTCATGCTCAACCTATCCAATCTATCATCAAGATCTATAAGAGGAGAAGAGAAGGTGAGGTGAGGTGAGTTACACAAATGGGCTGCTGCAAGTACAGATAGAGAGATACCTACCCCATCACTGTTATCTTACATTCGATACGATACGATGCTGACTCGTTTTGGGGAATTAGAACTGTAGGAAGCCAAAAATAAAAATTAAATAAATGGCCAACTCAACATGTCAAGAAATCCATCTCCATTTGCACATAATATGAACTTGTTCTTCACGCTGCACCTTTAAACTTGGCGTCGTATTCATACGGTTGCTGCATCATATAAAAGTATTTTTTTCATTAGACGGTGCAACAATGCAGCAAAAGACGCACATTAACATAAAAGTGGGGCAGAGGCAGAATTCAAAAGAAAAAGTTGGCAACAAGATTTTTTTCGAAGTTATTGTGGCTGCCTCCAGGGATGTCAACCAATCATGAGAACTTGCTTTACGAGAAGCAAAGGTGCAATTGGACCAGCTAGATTTGATCTAGAGGGACAAATTGTGGACAGCAGAAAGCCTTCAAGAACGCAGAGAACACAAAGTTGTGTGCCCCAAAATATTCAATTAAAATAATATCCCTAAGAAAGAGAATAGTTCCAGCCAGAGGCTGTGCGTTTTCAGTTTAAAAAATGTTCCCAAAACACTTTCTAAATACTAGTAAACCGAATTCCTTCCATTCTCTCTTGACCGTGATTTCCCAGATTTGTTCTAGATTTACATTGAGATGGTTGCTCTAAACAGATACACATTTCATCAACGGAACTCATCTGTTTGGCTGAGTTCACAACTTGTTTTCTGAAATTTTATTGAAAAATTAGAAACTAGTTTGACAAAAATAAACACCAAAAACAAATTATTTTGAATTTTTTTTTTTTTTGGCATCAAGGTGTCCAGATCAAAAGTTTTTTTTTTTTTTTTCTCCAGTTTCTTCACCAAACTAGTTTTTTAAAAATTTCCAAAAAACATATTTTAAAAACTCAACCAATCAATAAAATCTTTGGAGGGAAGCAGAAGAAGAGCCTCACAAGGGTCCAAATACATACCAAGAACACGGCTGAGATCAACCTCCGTGCAAACCATCTCTTATGCATTGCTCGTTGGGCACTCGCTGCTGCTTCAACAGTTTCAAACCGCAGATATACATAACCAGCACTGTTCCTGAAAGTAGGATTCACTAAGATTTAACTTCTACTGATAACATTTCAGCCACAATGGGGCAAATAAAGAGACCAACTGTCATATTAACCCCAAATCAAGAGTCTCAAATAGATTGCAACCAGATTTGGTCATTATAACCAAGGCAAAATTGTTGCTTTGTTAGATCAAAGATGATATCAATCCAAGAAGTACCAGGAAGGATTACGACCACATGCCGGTAGATAAAATGACGGAGAGATTTGTAAGTGTGCAACATCAGTTCTAAACAAAGTAATGAAAGTACAGTAATGAATAACGCACACTACTTGCAAAACTGGCTGACTTGATCCATATCCTCATTAGATTGTGCTCTTCATGAAATCATAAATGCATAAAGAATAGGCCAAGGAAATCCACTTCCCAGATTCAGAAGCAATTGATAGCTTACAACAGGCATTTTCTTCCATGAGTGCAGGCAACATAAAAATGATTTCCAATTTCTTTTGCTCCTACGCATAATAGCATTGGACCTAAAGGCAAAATAATGGCTTGGGGAAATTCGTTCTATAACAAAAAAGGCTATACCATCAAACAACAATGATTACATTGGAAGGCTGAGTGTGTTAACCCCTTGAAAATGATTTTTGTAAGGGCAGAGCAAAAAAAATGTTTGTTAGTATCCTATTTCTACTCATTAAGTTGTTAACCCTTTGCCTACAAGTGTGAGAACTACTTCTTAACAATCATTTAAACAATTTTGTTTGTAAAATGACGATAATTGCTTGATCTTTGTGCAAGTTGTGATTATGTTGTGAATGATGCCAAAGTTCGTAAAAACTGTGATTCCAAACCGAATCAAACTGTGTTTTTCTGCTTCAGTTTGGTTTGGTTCCAAGATTTTAATGGTTTGGTTTGGTTTGGTTTCAAATTTTATGAAACCATAGGTAGTGGTTTGGTCTTGGTTTACTCCCCCTAATTTTCGTGTATTGCTCCGACATACAAAATATAACTTCCCCAGTTGACTTTGGGAAAATTCTCAAATAACGTAAAATTTTCTTCAAAACAAAATAAAGAAAATTTTAGACCTTTTTCAGATGCCTTATCATGCTAATCTCTGGAAAATGAATAAAAACATCACTAATTCTTTTGTCTTGACCAGTCAAATAGACCAACACTGATATTTAGTAATATTACTGGGTATTTACCTTTTCATGTCCCATAAAAAAATTGAATATCAAATAAGACTCCCAATCTCACATCATAAGCTGCAATCTTCCGACGAGGCTAACAATAAGGGAGAACTCATAATAGTCACATACCCATACAGGCCAGAACTTTATGAAGTAACCTATAAAAACATATAAACTGAAACAATTCCACTATAGTGTCTATAGAAATTAGTAAATGTAAGGCAATAGAAGGTGAAGACAGACAGCATTGCAATGTCCTATATTTATTATACTTGCGACTTGATAATTTTATTCCACATTTGACCAGCAGATTAGTATGAGATGCAATCATATTATACTGGTCCATCTTACGTAGTTCATGGGATTAATAATTAACTATACCAATTAACTACTCATTATTACAAATAATTGACTACTAAGTACATATTATTCATATTAGGATAATAACTTCATGTAAACAGATTGGTAGCAGGAAACTCTTCATGTAATTATGATAAAAAGTCCTAAAGGTTGTTTTCTATTTTTATCCAGACAATGGGAATACAGTATCCCAATATTAGAATTTCCTTCCAAACATCCTAGTTTCATTTTAGTGTGTAAAATGAAGTTGAATTCTAGAAAAATATTGTAGCACTAGAATTCTCTTGCAAACGAAGAGATATTGGCATTCACACACGTCACATTGACCTTTAAAGCAATACACAATAGACAGAAAATTGAAATATCTTTAAAATAATTCTATGCTACTGATACAAGAGAGATGCATTTGAGCAACTAATTATGATTCTCATGCAACAACGCAGAGATACATGAAAAACACAAACAGGACACTTGACAACAAATGGATTATTACAATAAACTGTTTGGCTTACTTGTCGACATAGATATGCTTCACACGACCATAATTCGAGCATTCTTCTTGCACGTCCTCTGTAATGTCCAAATCAAAGTCTGGTTCGGTCTGTAACACATTTTCAAAGATGAATTCTTTCCATACAATAGAGAACTGGAAAGTTTTGGGAAAAAGAAATAAAACACCATGGAGAATACACACCTCTGTTGCTGGATCAAACATATTCTTCAAGAGTAAACACTCGCTGGGCTTCCCAATAGGCTCTGAGGCCACAGAAGTTACAAGTGCAGGAAGAGCTGGAGCAAGAGCTGCAGATTGCCCACTGATAGGCAAGGTGATGGCTTGTTGATTTGAAGTTGCACCATTAACTGGCACTCCAAGAGACCCCGCAATACTACAGAAAGGATTACATTTAAGTGTATGCTATGGTTGTCAGGAAACATATAGGATGGATAGTGATAAATAGACCAACCTAGTGGCAGTACCACTGCGATCCAGCTTCTGCATAAGCAATGCTCTTGATTGAGCATTTAGAGACTGTATGGGAATATACCATATGTCAGCCAAGTACAGTTTCTGAGAAAAATCATGCAGCAAAATAAAGCATATAGCTTGTCTGTTGTTATAATTCAAATTTTTTTTTTTCTTTGCTGGCTATACTTTTTGACCATTAGGAGCTTAGTTGCCCAAAGTGGGAGTGGGGACAAGAGCGGGGGTGGAGGAGGTTTCTTAAGTTGGGAGCAGGGGCGTGTATATATTTATTTCCTAAATATATAAAGATCTTCTAACAATTATTTTTTGCTGTTTAATTGTAATATATGTATTAAAATATGAATAACTATTAGAGATTCATGTTAACTACAAATTGTCTTCATTAAGTATAAATAAATATTATATAAATAAAAACTACTAGAATAAGTTTGAGGATTTTTATTTATTTATTTATTTTTGAGATTTCTATCTCAGTTGGGAGCGAGTTTCTTACAAGGTTTTTACTAGTGTGGAATCGCATTTCTTAGTAAGAAAAGCCACTCGAGCAGAAGGTTCCTGCTACTAAGATTAGGAGTATGAATCAAGATTTACAAGATTTGTGCCATTTCATTAATGAAGTTTGCTATTAGTACTTGATTATAGTATTTCTACGCTTTTTATATCGAGATATATCATTCTTCACCAATATTTTTCTCACATTCCTTTTCATAAATTTTAGAACTTTTCATCCACCTTTCTAATTCATAAACCAACAAACTGTCTATGACCCCTTTATTTATTTTTATTCTTCGAAGGGCTAATTTCACTTCTATACCCCTGAACTATTGCTAAATTATCTACTTTGTCCTTGAACTATCGATTGAGTCTACTAAACCCCTAAATTATATAAATCAAAGTCTACTTAATTCTTAAACTATTGATTGAATCTATTAAGTACCTAGAGTATTTAATTCAAATCTATTTTGCCCATGAAACGATTATAAAAATAACATATATAAGCCCACAAGTATTATAAATTAGTAAAAGACCCTACCTAATTAAGATTTTATTCCAAAAAAATCTTATTGGTTGTTTGGCAATGCATTAAATAAGTGCACTTATTTGCTTATTTACTATAAGGCCAAGTTTGACAACCCAAAAATAATTCATCTTTTTATCTTTTTTCCATCACATTACCTCTCTACTTTTCTGCACATCTTTTCGTAAAAAGACAAAAAAGTACACTTATTTAGGTCATCCCAAACAACCCCTAAGTTGTCATATCATCTCTCTACTTTTCTTAACATCTTTTCGTAAAAAGTCACTATATAAGCAAACCCCAAACCACCAAATTTATATTCTGTCTTTAAATGGTGTTTTGTTTCGTTGTGTTTAAATTGATATTAGAACTTGGTTTCTCAGCCTTGCCAATGAAATTATATGAGTATTATATAATTTAAATAGAATTTTTATTATTTGTTGATAATTTAAATAATAGTAGTTCTCTACAAATAATAATCGAACAAAATAATACATTAATTAGGTTATTAAAAGAACTTAACAAAAAACGTAAAAACAGTCAACTAGATATATAAACGAAATTTGACATACAATACCAAATAAAAATAAACAAGTAGCTATTGTAGAAGATAAGAGAGAAATTCCTATAGACAATTACCCTTATCCTATAAAGGAAATTCACTAGAAGAACGGGCGCCCACTTTTTAAAGACAACAGAATTTTTTAAATTTTTCTAGAATAAAATCTTAACTAGGTAAGATCTTCTACTAATTTATAATACTTATGGGCTTATATTTTATTTCCGTAATCGTTTCAAGAACTAAATAGGTTTGAATTAAATATTTTAGGGGCTTAATAGACTCAATCAATAGTTCAGGACGAAGTACATAATTTAGCAATAGTTTAGGGGTAGAGAGTGAAATTAACCCTTTTTTTAGAAGTCAAAACATTTTATGCATTTAACCCACCATAAAAACCTACTCACATATCACACCATTAGCTTCTTAAACGATGTCCAATGCAAGGAAAAAAAATATTGTAAAACCATATGCCATGTTCCAATTGTTATACATCTGCCCATGGAACAAACCATAAAATTTGTGCCTTGACAAACAAATTATCCTGCAAACTATTTCTGAGTGTAAAAACTTTCAATATGCAGCTCTTGGGTACTCTGATTGCCCAACAGCACTGCACCACAGTACAATACCAGAAATCTCTATCGTGATAACACCAGTCTTTATTGATTATATAATGACAAAATTGGACTCACCAAACCACCCCCATCATCATCATCAAAGTCAGCTGCTTTGGCTCCTGAATCTTGCACTCCAACATGATCTGTAACTGATGAAACCTGCAAATGAATGTAGAAGATCAGTCAGAAAAATTAACATTAGCCCTGAAAAGAAAATAGCCAGTCACAGTGGCATAAGTACAAAGAAATGACAAACAATGTAACCATTATGTTGTAATCACATAAGTTCACAACTTCATAATTACCAAATCTGAAGAACCAATAGGTACAAGACTACCTTGATAATTCGACCTGCAATCTCCAATTTTCCATTCAAACTTTGAGCTGCCTTTGCATGTTCCAGTTGAGCGAACTACAATATAACAGTGAAGAAGTAAATCTTACCAAAAACAAATACTAACATAAATACCATCTACTAACAAAAAGTCATTTTTAGTAGTCAACATCAAGCTATACTAACCTGAATAAACCCAAAACCTTTGCAGTGTCCTGTTTCAGGGTCAGTAGGTAGTTGCACAAGCTCCACAGGCCCAAAAGCTTCAAAAATCTGACAAAGGACACCAATTGTTATAAAAGAAGCTACTTTGTACACTAAATTAATAGATTAACTATTCAAAACTTCACCACAGTGAAGGAAAAAATCCACTGGTAAAAACCCATTGAAATTCTCTCACTGGTGGAAGCTACAGGCAAGAAAAGTACAAGGTAAGGCTGAGCAAAAAAAAACAGAAAAACAGCAAACCAGTCCGATCCAGACCAAACCACAGAGTTTGGTTTGGTTTTCTCAATGCACGGTTTGGTCCTAGTTCTTAAAGTCAGTGGTTTCATAATTATGCTTCCAGTTTGGAATCGAACAGGATAGTTCAGATATATACATATATATATATAATTTGTTATTTATAGTAGAGACTCAAGTACTTTATTAGCATCCCAAATATATTCATAAGCTGTAAATCCTCTACTCCAATTGGTTGGAAGGGTCTCAGCATCTAGCTTGTGCTGTCCATTATTTTTTAACCTCGTTTTTTTATAAATTTTTTAGCCCTCATTACTTGCACCAAAACCCCAACAGTTTCCCAAGTGTAATTGAATATAGATGTGTCCTGCATGGCCCATGGGTGCCGCATAACCAAGCCAACTACTTTTTTCCTTTCGAACTCTTAACGTTCAATCAATCGAGCAAGAAGCAATTGATACAAACATTATTTTAAGAAACCTGCGGAAGTGAAAGAGAATGCTTCGAAAATATGAACATCTCTCCTGTGAGATAAACACAAAAAGAAGCATATCATTGAAAGAGAAAAGGAGTGAAGCAAGTTCCACTATCTCACAGTAATTAGATTTTTGAAAGAGGGAAATAGTTGAATTTCAATAAGGGTGGAAGATAAAAATGAACCACAAATTCCAAAAGTAGCAGGAATCAACACAAAAAGAAGCATATCATTGAAAGAGAAAAGGAGTGAAGCAATTCCCACTATCTCACATCACAGTTAATAGATTTTTAAAAGGGGAAACAGTTGAAATTCAACAAGAGTAGAAGATAAAAATAAATCACAAATTCCAAAATGAAGTCTAGAAACTCTGCAGACTGAGGGGATGGAATCTTAAAGAAAAATATTATACATAAACATATTTTTCACCTTATTTTCTTACCACTGCTAGACACAAAGGCAAGGTCCCACGTATTTATTAAAGTGAATCCCACTACCTTTGTATCTAGTGGTGAAATCTAGTGACAAATCAATTTACATAGCATTACTCAATTTTAAAAACCTGTTTACTCCAAACAAATCCTCCCTAAGACAAAATCTAGACCCAAGTTCAAAAAATAATCCAATGTAAGACAAAAATGTATGACCCATAAGATATGGCCCTCTGTCGACAAAACAGATTCCCTCTAAGCAATATTGGTATAAAATCTAAGCAAACTAGCGCATGCCTCTTGGTAACTAAGCATGAAAAAAACTTTACATCTCCTGACTAACCAAATTATCTGCACTACTCCACCCTAACCAAATCAAAGAAACACCATAGCATAAGCATGACTTGGGGGCTGTTTGATCAAGCTCAGAAAATTTTCAGTATCGAATTTTTTATGCTAAAATATGTAAGCACTAAATTTTAAAATGAAAAATAAAAAATCATCTTCTACTGATCATATTCAATATTCAATGACAAGTCAAGTCTATCTGTAACTTAAAATTAAAATCCAGCCAATTTTCAAATTTAAGTGGAAGGTGATAATGCAATATCGAACACGCTTAATAACAAAACCACTGAATATGTTTAGGTTCAAACACTTAAGTGTGTTATCAAATAGACCCTTAGACAATGGAAAAAGATCAAGACCCCTAAAAAGGCTCCCCTAATTTACCAATAATAACATGGCAGGTTACGTGTCAATTTATTATTTGCCACAAACTCGACCGTGTAGGGTCAAACTCCCTTACCATTTCATTGTTGGTCCCCCCCATAGGAGCTTCTTGCTACTAAGACCCCACCCCTAAAAAAAAAGGCGCTTACAATCTCCTTTGAAATGTGATTTTCATAATCCAATATAGTTCAACTACACCTCAAAAATTTTAATAGCATTTTCCAACGATTCCAAGACTTTGTAACATTTTTTTTACTATAACTCCCAATGGCAATAAAAAACAACTTTGAATTCCAACCACAACTTTGAATTCCAACCACCATACTTGATCCATCTCATTGTCTAATTTCATCTAAAGAATATATATTAGCTAGAATGTGCAATGCTCATGTTTAAGAAATTCTCTCTTTTCCCTTGGAGAATTTGTAAACCACCTCCCTCTCATGATGGATTTAAGGCCTCAATCCCTACCAAGATTTTAAATTCTCATTTCCCGAACCAAAGTCCTCAAAATCTCACTTCCTTAGCAAATTAGCTTTCAACCTAAGAAGCATGAACACTTCTACAAAGGAAACGTGTCGTGTTTGACATCCGTGTCTGGCACAACACTCTTTGGACACTCCTAAAAGCATGTTCGACACTTCAACATGTCTTGATTAAAAAATCAAATTCATAACATCAGACACTTTAGCAACACTTCACGGACACTTTGGCGGCACTTCTTGAATACTCTCCAAATAAGTCTTATAAGATGAATTCCTTCATTATAACAATGTTCTCCGTTCTTCATAACACAACTTATGCATCTTAAATATTTTTTGAAACGTATATAAGATGGATACGTTATGTGTAATATAATTGTTTTGCATTGTTTAGAATGTAATTGCCATGTAAATGATATCTTGATGTTTAATTTATGAAATATATAACTTTTTAATGTAAAATATGTGTTATGTTATATTTTTTATTATCTTTGAATAAATTATTAATATATATGACATAATAAATTTATTAAAATATAAAACTTTAACATGTTCTACATTTTTTTAAAATCGACACGTTGGCATGTCAACATTGTGTCCGTATTGTGTCCGTGTCTATGCTACTTAGCTTTCAACACAACTTGAGCTCAACACAAATCTAATCACTCCCATCCCATGACATCAAACTCTTTCCACAACTAATCCAAAATTCTGAGGCATGACCAGTTCAATGATATAAAGAATGATGAGTGAACCAAATAATCCATAATGAATTTCTTTGAGACCCATTCAAACCAAACCCCGATTCCTTATAACCAGTTGGTTAAGCCCCAGGCTCCTCTTCTTCAATCGTCACTCAACCACTACCGGTGGAACGGTTGAACTCTTCACTCTCAAACAATTACAACCTGCAACTTCATAAGGTTTCAAGTCCCAACTCTTCTACAATTTTAGATTAGGAGCATGAAGACTGATGGAGTGATGTCTATGTTATCTGTCTTCTAAAAAAAAAATTACTTGAGTACTTTGTAAATATAGAGAAAAAAGTAATAGACAATATATATAGAGAGAGAGCGAGAGAGAGGTGAAACAAAGAGCCAAAGACTGTCTTTCCCGAAGTGTCTGTTGGTTGATTCCAACAAAGTGACATAAATGAGAACAAAGCTAGAGAGTCAAAAGAAAAAGACCATACATGTGACTTGAGATTATGTGGATGTGTGCATTTCTAATTGGGGAATGGGATGGCAAAGGCTAGGCAAACGCACATACTTTAATTTATTTATTCAACGTGTTTTTTTTGCATCTACGATATTTTTATTTGAAAAATAAAGAAAAATACCAGAAGAAATACTTAAAAAATTTAGAGTTCTTTAGATAATTTTTCTATAGTTTTAAAACCTATATTTTTTATTTATATATAATTTTAAAATACTTATGTGGTAATTATGTGTCATGGTTCAAATCCAATGGACTCTACAGTTGAACCAATGATCATTGACCCTATCCTTTTTCTGGTTTCCTCAACAGTCTGGATTTTAGAACATTCCTACCATTGAAATACTTCCAAGATTTTAATAAAGGTTCACAAGTGTCCGCTAGGCTGAAAACCAAACAACAAAACAATTCAACTCTGATTTCTTACAATTCGTTGTCCATTAGCTAGACCATTACAAAAGTTAATTTCACAAGCAAAGAAAAATTCTAAGCATCCTATCAAAAATATTTGAAAAAGGAAAATCCCTTGAAGAACAGATCAAATTTCCACTTCATGCATATCCCGTTGAAAACAACTGGTCATAGTGGAAATAAACATAGTTGAAGTGAAATTTCCCTTGAAAACAACTAGTTATAGTGGAAATAAGCATAGTAGAAATAAACAACTGATTATATTTCCCTTGAAGAACAAAGCATATTTCCACTTCAGGCATGATCATTGATTCACCATAACCAGTTGGTTCCTATCATGTTGGTATATGCTTATTCCACTTCGCTATAACTAGTTGATTCACTATATTTCCACTTCATGCATATCACAGTTCCACTTCAACTATGATGCGTATCATGCTTATTCCTTTAAGAGATGTGATGCGACACATGCCCCAAATTTTTTTCTAAAATATGGGTCACAATTGTTCTATGTGTCAAGTCTGCATAGACATGGAAACTTGCCTTTTATGGCTAGGGAAATTGGAGGCCTAATAGTACCAAGCATCATAGAGGACAAAAGACCTCTCGCCATGGTGGTGGGCAGAGATGGACCAACAAAGGGTCTGGTAGGGGCAACTGTCACCCCAATCAAAAAACTCCTTTAATATTGTAACAAGTCCCATGCCCATGTTTGTGCTCATGCTTCTTAGCTAACAGTCATGGTAACTCAAACAAAAAGCATGCAGCACTGAGCTTCATTCCCCTAGCTCCTTATGGTACCCTCCATACATTGTTCACCCATTCTTAAAGCTCTACCTTCTTTGACAACGACAAGCCCCATCTACCAAACCTACCCACTAGACAATTCCATATGAAAGACATTGTACACCTACAAGATCCGTCGTCCACCTCCATTCATATTCTGTCCTCTACTGGCCTCCCAAAAAGATTTTTGGCTGCCCGTCCTTCAGCTTGTAACCTCCCCACTGAACTCCTTGAGCACTTCCCGCACCACAAGCCAATCACCTCCACCAACATATCTTTAATCTTAAGCAAACACTACCTCCCTTTCCCAATAAATGGTCACTTCCAAATATCTCTCTCCCTCAACTGACAAGGCTTCGGCAAACTATGCATCTGTCACCCATTATCTGTCACCCATTACAGACCACCAGAATGTCGGGAACACTGACCCATCTACAGCTCCCTGGGAGACATGACATCACAACTCAACCACTGTTATCTTTATAAACCAGCTTGCTTGACTATTGTCGTCTTCAAGAACATCGATGGTCTGCCACTGGACTTGGAAGATCCTTTGTCTTACCATGGAAATACAGCACATTACTATATTTTTACATCTGTTAACAATCACTCACCATTACTGTAATGGCTGCCTTTTGCAGTGTGGGCTAATCTGGTATTTATAGTGCTGCTTCTAAGAACTCCTCTTTTTCTTTCATTTTTTAGGTTTATTTACTTAATTTCCCATCCATAAGACACGGCATTTTCTGCAAATCTTACACCACTCTTCCTCCTTTAACAGCACTGGTAATATTTAAACAAGCTAAAATTGAAAACATTCAGTAATGAAAGTCATATTACCTGTTTAAGCTGAAATTCTGTCATGTTGAAGTGCAAATTCCCCACATACAGTTTTCTATCAACTGCACCATAGGGTCCCACAACTAAACCACCCGCAGCAGCATTAGTTTGAACAAGGTTCTTTTCAGCTTCCGATGGTTTAACCATTACAGGTTGTCCGAGAAGTAGGTGGCCAGAGAGAGCTATAGCCATTGGCACAGACATTGCATCATAAAATTCAATATACCTGCAGTATCGCCCAAGGACTCACAATAAGTTTGCCAGACCATACGAGACAAAAATACAATCATAACTTACAAAGCAGGTATCTACGGAAGGTAGGAAAATCAAAAACTCTCTTAAGTGCATATGTGCCAAGCTGAATTTCTTCTCTCGTATCTAAAGTTCATGAAACAGAAGACGTCACGGTCAGCTACTCGTGACAAAATACAAACTGGGATAATTAAGACATATAAAAGTGATTCACAAAAAAGATAGTTTTAGGAGACTCGGATAGAATAGAGTGACAAAAATCAAGGGCTATGACTACCCAAAAGAATTAGCACTTTGTCAGGCCAAACTAATACGTCTGCAAAGCACAATAGCAGTTAACATTTTTGTATAAATTTCCTTCGAAATGGTTTGGAAAAATTTAACAACGACATGAACTCCAAGGTTGGGATATAGAAGCATGCTTAAAGACCAAGTACCAACTTCTAACCACATAGGCAAATTAAAGAGTTCAACCAACTTCTTTATCAATCAACAAAAAAGGTAAAATCATCTTAAATCAACTAAACTGTAAAAATTCCTAGGGAGTTTTTCTCCAACCAGGAAAGGATTTTATCAATCAACAAAATCTGCCTGGCAGGATTAAGAAGTACCTAAGGAATTCTACATATATGGGCACAGGGAAAGCTAAAATCAGACTCAAGCTGATGAACTAAAGATGTTTGTATGGTCTCCCATAGAACATGTATAAAATGGTCCACACGCTTTTTGACAGAAAACATGATCAGGGCTTATAACATAAAGAAGCAGCAAACTCAATCATGAATTGTGGAGAAACCACCTCGGCCAAAACCATCAATTGACAGCACTATATATCTTCCAACTCCCACAAGCAATATTGATGCCCGAACAAAGACATATCAAGGATCAAGACACTCTCCCCAAGAATTGTGCCAAATTTATTCTTAAAGAATAACTGCCTTGCCATCGAATAAACTCGACTGGATCTAATGTAAAATTTCCAGTGCAGAGTTAGAAAAACTATGGTAGCGTCTGGTAGAGTTTTCTAAATATGATCTGATAATAGAATTGTACTTTGAGTTTGTGAGTTTTGAAATTATGATTTGAATATAAAAAATTTGTTTGATTATAAGTTTTGAAAAAAGTTTTGAATTAAGTTTTGGAGCGAGTTTTGAGTTTTTGAAATTAGAAAAGTTTTTTGATTCAAAAACTTATAGCTCATAACCAAACACACAACCTAAAATTCTATTCAAAGCTCATATAAAAATTTAAAAAATTCCAAAAATATTTTTTATTTACAATATAAAAATAACAAGTGCCAAAAAAAAAAAACGAACACTGCTCCGGTCAACCGGCCGGACATCCGGGTTAGCCAAATTTTCCCGCTTGGAAAGGAGTTTTCAAAAGTGGGTGTGAAATTATAATTTAAAAACTCAAAACTAACACCACACTCATGAAAGTGAGCGAAAATGTGCTTGGAAAACAAAACCAAACACAGCCTATAAATCAAAATTGCAAGAAGCAAACAAGGAGAACACAAATACAGTTTGGTTGTCATTGGATGAAAACAGTAACAGTATACACTGGGTAAAGAAAAGAAAAAACAAAAGGAGAAACTTAGGTTCCTAGTTGCACGAAACGGGGCATGGATGAGAGCAGAAGCAGAAGCAGAAGCAGGAGCAGGAGCAAAGAAACAAGGGCATATAGAAGTTTCTTTGGTTGGGAGCAGGGGCGTGTATTTATTTATTAAATATATAAAGATATTCTAACAATTATATTTTGCTTCTTAGTTGTAACATATGTATTAAAATATGAATAAATATTAGAGACTCATGTTAACTACAAATTATTTATTAAGTATAAATAAATCTTATATAAATTGTCCTTATTTGAGAGGTTTCTATCTCACTTGGGAGTAAGTTTCTTACAAGTTTCTAACTTGGGAGTGCGAGATCATGTTTCTTAGTAAAAAATGCTACTTGGGTAGAAGGTTCCTGCTACTAAGCTTAGGTTCATGTCATCTACCTTGAGAACGCAACATGAATTGTTTAAACATGAGTGCAAGGTAATCCCACCATCCCTCATCATGGATTCTTTATTGCAATGCTAGTGAATTTAAGAATAAAGTTATGTTTAATTTTTAAGACGAATTACACTAACGGTCCCTCTAGTTTGGGCCTTGTGTCACTTTGATCCTTGATCTTTCAATTGTGACACATTTGACCTTGAATTTTGAATCATGTTCCAAATAACGGCAATTGAAGATACCATTACTCAATTTCAAGGACAAAGTCGTCAATTTGATAAAATATAGACTAATTTGATAAAAATAAATGTCAAAAATATATTTTTTAATTTTTAAAAATTATTTCTACCCACTAATGATAAAATTATGTAAAACTGATAAATCTTTTAGACATTTATTTATTTATTTATTTTCCCAAATTAATTTTTATTATGTGTTTGGATGATGATCATATAATAGGTGGTCAAATGTGTCACAATTGAAAAGTCATGGCCCAAAATTATACGAGCCCCAAACTATAGGGACTATAAATTTTTAAAAAGAATCAACAATTACTTTCTGACTACACTGCACATAAATGATATGCTTTTTAGCAAAAACACACTTACCCAACTCCTTTTGAACGTCTTGAATTCCGGTCCATGATTAGACGAACATCCCTCACCTGGATATGAAACAGTGAATGATTTAAATAAAATTTTAAAAAAAAAGAAACTTGCAATAAACATAGAAAATACATGTCATTATGGACAAATTGTCTATAACAACACCTACTAGGGGGTGTTTCATGAGATCATCAACTTTAACTCGTTTGTACATTTTCACTCACCCCACATACACAGAATGTTGACACAAGAAAGTCATTATATTACCCGTAACTGAACGCAAAGGAGCATTTACTGCAACAGGAAGGAGATGTATCTCAATAACATGTATTAATGTTCAACGCAGTGTTTCAAGTAACAAGGACATGAATTGATCATATACATGTAGGCGGCAATGAAAAATCCAAGGCAACACATGGCATGCAATAAGAAAATACATAGAGCACAATGCCTACTATAGCATACAATAGTCTAAAAATAGATCATTCAGATAATCCACAAAGCAAAAATATTAAAAACCCCACTAACCTTGCCTGCTTTTGAGAAAAACTCGTAAACATCTCTCTCGGTTGCCTTCAGAGGCATCTGCCAACATCATATTCATACAAGAAAACAGGAATTAGCAAAAAAACAAGTAGAAAGAGTAGTATGGGCATGTGAATACAAGAAAACAAGTGCAAACAAACAGAACCACTAAAATTTCCATTCCCATCAACTCCTTAAAATAGAAGACAAATATTATCCATCTACCTGGTATGCAAAAACAGTTCTTTGGTCCCTTTCTGGATCAGCTTCAGGCTCCACCGCTTCTTTCTTTTCTTTGAGTCTCCTGCCATTAAAATTGATTTCAACATAATAAGAAGGTATATAACAGAAAAGGCAGTTCACTACTTTGACATGCACAACCTTTTATGGATGTAACAAAAATAGGCCATGATAACTAAAAATATGAGTACATAAGAACATTAACATGGGAAAATTGAATTACAATTAGGCATTTAACTAGTATTTCTTTTCTATGCACAGCATCCATAAACTTCAGACAAGACTTCGAGAGTGAGTTTCAACTTTCATTAAAAAGAAAAGATTGAAAGAACACTGGAAGCATGTAGACATCAACAACAACAAATAAAAAGCCAAGTTTTATAACCATGATACAAGGAATTAAGTTGCCTTTCAGTGTGATGAACTCAAGTGTACGAGGATTTTTGAGTGTTAGTTCTGAAGAGTTTTAGTTATAAAACTAAAAGCATTGAAATTGACTAGATTTCAACCATTTCAATTGGAACACTTAGAGATTTGATCCATAGTTTTACTTATGAAATACCTTGTGGAGTATGACGTGGGCGGTGAACACTCTATTAAAGGGGATGTTAAAGCATTATCATCTATTTAGTAGACAATTAATTCAACAGGCAGTGCATGAGAGAGGATAAATGACAAGCATTGCAGACCTAAAAGTCAACATACTTCATTCAGCATCATCTCAATCAAAATCTCCCATGTATACAGTAACCTCAAGGCCAATTACATGCAAATATTAGATGCTTCAAAAGTTTATTGCAGACCTCTCTGAACGATTAAATTTGACAATTAATATCCATATGATTATAGAACATAAAGCCATAAGATGCATTGTAAATCTATTTTTTGATACAGAATCTACCATGAAGACAATGCATACCTTGAAGGGCAAAATAAAAACGCAACAGACCTTATCAAAACCAATTTGTGGAAAAGCCACTTTCTTCAATGAAGCCTTGAAGAACTTGCCGCATTGTTAGCCCATTAGAATGTGCAAACAATCCATCTATGATTTCAACCCAAGTTAGAAATTGTACACAGATGCATGAATTTTCATTTTCTTATGAGTTCTTAAGTTGTTTTAAGTTGATAGTAAAAATATAGCATATAAGTAGTTTAAAATTCATGAAGACAAGCTTCCAACACAATCACATGAATGACACCAAGTAAATTAAAGGCATATAATCAACATTCATCTGTTTATATTGATGGTAAAACCTGCTAAATGTTTTTACGCTGCAACTCAAAGGGCAAAATGAAGCACATAAAAGCTTCTCCAACTCCATTTGCATAAATCCCCCTTCCACTCAGTGAAGGCTTGAACAACTATATCATTGTAGTCGTTAGATTATGCAAGTTACAACCTTTAGCGCAGGGAATTATTTCAAATTTTCTAAAGGGTGAAGTTTAAACATTTACAGTCATGATGAATCAAATGCATAGGAATTATTCACAAGGAACTCTTTCAAACAACAGCAGAATATATATACATATATATATAGTCCAAAACACCCAATTGGAGGAAAAGAGTGAGATACCACCTGCTCAATTCAAGTTCAGTTTCCCTGTCTCTCAAATATTCCTTGTCTCTTTCGCGATCACTATCGTGCCTCTTCGATGACCTTGACCGACTCCGGCTTCTCCGGTGCAGCTCAATCTCCCTGTCCTTTTCTCTCTCCTTATCTTTCTCTCTTCTCTCCCTATCTCTCTCCCTCTCTTTCTCCTTATCTCGCTTGTCTTTTTCCCTCTCCTTATCTTTCTCTCTGGAGCCCCTCTCCCTCTCCCTCTCCCTATCTTTCTCTCTAGAGGCCCTATCCCTCTCCCTGTCTCTGTCCCTCACCCTCTCTCTCTCGGACTCCCTATCTCCATTTCTGCTAGTCCTGCGGCGATCTTTGTCTCTCTCAACATCTCTCTCAGAATCCCTAATTGACCGCTCTCTCTTGGACCCATTCTCTTCCTCCCCTCTCGATTTCTTACTTCTCCGATGCTCCTCCTCTTCATGGCCGCTGTCTTCCTCTACGGACCTCTCTCTCCTCCTGTAACCTTTCTGGCTCTTCTTCGTCGACGAACCGTCTCGCTCGCTCTCTTCCACGGTCTTCTCCAGGTAATCGTACTCATCGAATTCCATTTTCAACTTCTCTCTCTCTTCAAGGTTCTTCAAGATTGATCAGGAACCTCGAAGAAGGGATACCCCAAACCGTGAGCTTGTCGCTGTATCAGATCACTCGATTTCTTTTCTTCTTTTTTTCAGAGTCGACCACTGGAACACTAGTTCTCGTGTCTTGAGGGTTTCTTAAGTGGTTTAAGTGGTTTTGGGGGATTATTTATTTGGGAATTTATAGGCCTTTACCTTCAAAATTTAGGTCAAGTTTGACTAACTTAAAAAAGTATATTTATTTTATCTTTTTATCTTTTTTAAGTTACATCAGTTAACATCTCCTCTCTATTTTTTCTACACATAATAAAAAAAAATTCAAAAAGTACACTTATTTAGTCTTTTCAAACTTAACCTTAATTACAAATTCATGAAACAATTTATGATTTTACTTTTTCATGTTTATAATTTTTTTTATTAATTTAAAAATATTTTTTCAATTACACATTGATGTGAATTATTCCTTGTTTATTTGGTTTTTTTAAGTTATTTTTTTAATTTTAAAAAATTTAGGCTTCTAAATTTTAGTTTTACCACATGAACCGAAAAAAGTTAATTTTTTTTTAAAATATTTAGAAAAGAAAAAAATAAACCAAAAAAAAGTAGACTTTTTAGATTTATTTTTGTTATTTTAAAAAAAATTACTTTTTAAATTTGTTTATAAAAGTAAAATCTTTTGTATGAAATTAAAGAAATTTCTCTGAATTAGATAAAATTTTTCTGAATCGAATTTTCTCTATAAAAACATTAAAAAACTTTGATTACTATGAAAATATTATATATCATTTATCTTATAAAATTTTAATATGAGAGACCTTAAAAAAAATTCTCTTTACTTATTGTCATATTCCTTCCTTCCTAACTATTTGCTCTGCTCTCACCAGCTTACTCATTTTCCAAGCCTTCAGATTATCCACTATTTGTATAATATTGCCTCTCAATGATACTATTTGCATTACACATTTCAAGCCTCATCCAGGTTGTTTGCCTAGCAACAAGAGGAATATCATTTTACCCCCTTAAACTTTCATGCATTTTTTAATTTGATCCCAGACTTTGATTAATATCAATTTTACATCTAAATTTTTGAAATTTTGATCAATTTGGCTTATGCCGTCATATTTCATCTACAATTGGACAAAATGTGCTAACTTGGCACCAAAATTCATTTAAAATTTTATTTTAATCCCCAAACTATACCTTAAAAATCAATTTGCCCCTCACGTCAACACATTCCATCCAATTGTTGATGGAATGTGATGGCAGTGGTCAAATTGATCAAAATTTCGAAAGTTTGAGTGTAAAATTGATATTAATCCAAATTTGAGGATCAAATTGAAAATTTCATAAAAGTTGAGAGACGAAATGATATTTTTCTCTAGGAACAATCTATTTTGTTAGGGAGTTGACTTCCTTAACGAGTTCGCTCTAACTAGCACAATTTTCATAATCATAAAATTTGTATACATAACATAAGGACATTATTCTTTGTCATTGGCACTCAACAACATAAATTAGTTATTACTTATGGAGAAAATTCAAACTTTGACTTTCCTACCAAAGTCATCTCGGCAAGAGGAATACTTTTTATAAAAAGAGTGTGGGTAAATCCCTAAGGAAAGTGGGTCAACATAGAACTTAACAAGGTTCGATTACTAGCCGTGGGAGTCACAATCCGAACCTGCCCCTATAGGTTTAGGTAATGACCAGCCAGTAATCCCGGATTACCTTCGGCCTCAAAGACAAAATTAATCATAATATAATAAACGAGGCTTAGTGAAAGCAATAATAAAATATAACCAAGTCTATTGAGCAGTGCATACATGCCGAATTCATAAATATTTAAAACTTTAAACTTCATACATTCATATATACATCACATCAAAGATAGAGTTTCGTACATAACATCCATCCTTAACAAGTTTCAAACAAACAAAAACAAAACAAGTAAAAAGGGTAACAAAGCTTGGCTCCACTCGGTCCAAGCACACTCCATCACAGAGGCACTTCAAAAATGACTTCATAGGGGTAGACTCCGAGGCTACCTTAGACTTAACGTTCCATTTGCTCACCTACACATATATAAGGGAGATGGGTGAATTGGAGCCCAATGAGTAACATCAATATAAAGGGTTAATAAATGAAGTCCAACATGATACAAAACATATCTTTCATTTCAATAAGTAAAATAATTTGATTAGCAATCACATGTCCAATCATATCAATACTTGCGATAACAATAATCATTCAAATCTTTAGACATCCAATAGAGTAACAATGTAACAATGTGTCGAAGTCAATAGGACCACTAAGGTCAATCCAATGGGACCACAACGGGTAAATCAATAATTCTTAATTCAATGTGGACCATTAAAGTCTAACATCAGAGATCTTTGTGTTTCAATTAATGCAATGGGCCATGGTATTATTCTCAAAGCAAGGGTCTCACTAAAAAATGTCACGAATACATTTACACAAATGACATTCATTTATAGATAACAAAATAAGATTCAGAATATTATTCTTGAACAATTCAAAATACTTTTCGAACATAGTTTTATAAAGATATTACTCACAATGGGTTGTACCGATATTAAGCCTCAGGCGACCACCTACACAAAACACATAATAAAGCACACATTAAAACATGTGACTTAAACGAATGACCCATCTTATTCCAATCTTCTTTTAATGTGTTTCTAATTCACTTCCTTATTATTAATGTTTAAACAATACCCAAGAATGTTTATGAGAGCATGAGGATGGAAACATGCACATGAGAGTGTGTTTCAAAAATGCTGAAAATTGGGTAGTTCGCTCGAATGCACCTTTGGTCGCTCGAGCACCCCTAAAAGTTTGGATCATAACTAACCAATAATCACTCGATTACCTATGGCCTCATCCAGATTAAAAAAAATCACATGCTTAATTAAGGAATTAAAGTATAATACAAGATAGGGTTATCACAGTCAGTCTACAAAAGTACTAGATGTTGTCAAAGTGGGCTTGAGCCAAGTGTAATGCAAAATTGAGTTCGCTCGAGTGCACACTCGGTCGCTTGAGCCAACTACAAAGGTCTGTAAAAATACTGAAAGCATAGCGAAGTAGTCGAATTCTGAAATTTCCAGAACAGATTTCAGGTTAAAAAACGCGAGTTTAAGTTGTGTAACCTGTATAGCTAGAGTCAAAAGCGTAAAAACTCTTTGTAAATCATGAATACATGTTAATTATCAAACCATAGTCCCAAAACCTCTTTAAATTTTCTAAAACAAAACCCCAAACTCAATAGTTTTGCCATGCATGTAATAAATTCAACCTCTTTCCTTTCAAAACATGATCATATGAGATGATAAGTGTGAAATCACGAAGGACTCTCAAAAATAGTAAGTAGAACTCTATGCATGTAAAGATTGTGGTGAAAGTCAACTTAAAGATGATGAATTATGCATCCATGTCCCAATTTAGTCCATATCTTCCATAATCAAGTTGATTCTTTGATCTTCTTGTCAATTACATAGAATTTACACTTATTATCACATGAATCCAACTCATACATGAACTATTTGCAAGAATTAAGGTTAAATTCCATACATAGAGCTTGAATTGATGGTGTGATAGCTTGATTCCCTCAAATCTCCCCTTAGACTTCATAATTCTTCTTATTCTCTCTCTAAAGTAGTTGTCCTCTCTCTCTCTAAATTTTCAGCACAAAAGATGATGAGAAATAAGCTTATTAAGCTTATATTGCCTATATATAGGCTAGATTAGATTAGGCTTAATTAAGTAGGATTAAGGCTAATTAATCTAACTTAAGTCTAATTAGTTCCAATAAAGTCTAGTTGATTTATTCTAATTATTTTGATCCAAATCAAATTTTAATTAAACTTGCCATATGATTCCAAATATTATAATTAATCTATTGAACTAGTTATTTTTAGTTCCTGAATCCATTTGTGCTTTCAATTTCTTATTTAAGGTTGCTATTCTAATAAGTATTCCATAAACAGACAGATAAATGCAAATTAAACACATAATCATGCAATTATGCTCAATAAAATAATATGTACGTCGAGGTCGTTACAGTGGTAGAAGTAATCGATGTACAACTACCTAAGGTAAGAATTATTGAGGCACTGCCTCCATGAGAAGACCCATTGTGACACCATCCTTAAGGCAAGACTTACTAAGGCACCGTCCCTAAGACAAGACCCATTGAGGCACTGCCCCTAAGGTACCACTATCTAAGGCAGGACTTCATGAGGTGATTGTAAGGCCTCCATTCCGTGTGAATAGAGATCACTGGTTGAAGCTGATAGCAGGCCCAAAGATACAAAAAATATCGCAACAAGTCAAAATCACGACTCCTGCGAAGATAGATGAAGAGAAACCTAAAAGTAATGGACTTTCTTTTCATTTACCTAAGCTAATGGCAAGACCAAGGAAGTCCCCTGAGGCTTGGTATAAGGCCTAGCCCAACGATTCAGGGCCTTGCTATGACCCGAAAACTAAGAAGTTGCGGATCTTATAGTTTGGTGGCTAAGAGTAGATAAGTCATTGAAGTGGATTCAAATATAGCTAAACAAAAGGTATGACTCCTAAGTAAGGTCTTTGGAAAGTTGTACCAAGTAAGGTACCACTGAGGTAGGTGATGTTGAATAAGGTACTATCAAGGTACATACCAAAATGGTAAAGACTGAGGGAGACACGTGTTTACTGAGGCTTTGCAGTTAAGACAACGAATATTCTACGTGAACCTAGAGACACATGTCATCACCCTATTGGCCACTTGGTATCTTCAATATCACGGAAAAACCTATATATATGGTCCATTTCTTAAAGTTTAAGAAGAGGATTTTAGGAGTGGGGAGGTGTTGCCCATTTGTTTACTGGCATATTCCTTCCTTTCTAGTTGTTTGCTCTACTTTCACTTGGCTACTCACTCTCTATCTCCCATACTATTTACTATTCACATAGTTTTGCCTCTATCTAGTAATTATCTCATACTACACATTTCAGACCTCCAACATTAAACAAGCTACTTTGTTTTGTACTCTCGTATTAGCTTTGTTTTTTCGCTATTTAATTTTTTGACAAAAAGCATATAAAGTGCACGTCTAAAACTTAGCTTCAATGACCCTCATGTGCCAGTTTTATTGGATTAACATGAAAGATAAATATTACTTTTCTTTTATTTTTTAAAATTCAAATTTGAATCAGGAGAGAACTTGAAAATCATTACAAATTCTGTTTCAATAATTAAATTTTACTTTTTATAAGATTTTTGGTGTATATCATTTATTAAAATAAATTAGGTCCTAGAAAGAAATATATATAAAAAAAAATTTACAATTATACCGACAGCTTTGTTTTTTCGCTATTTAATTTTTTGACAAAAAGCATATAAAGTGCCCGTCTAAAACTTAGCTTCAATGACCCCTCATGTGCCAGTTTTATTGGATTAACCTGAAAGATAAATATTACTTTTCTTTTATTTTTTAAAATTCAAATTTGAATCAGGAGAGAACTTGAAAATCATTACAAATTCTGTTTCAATAATTAAATTTTACTTTTTATAAGATTTTTGGTGTATATCATTTATTAAAATAAATTAGGTCCTAGAAAGAAATATATATAAAAAAAAATTTACAATTATACCGACCTAATTTTTTCATGTTCATTTTTTTTTAACACAAACCCGATAAAATGAATTTTGAGTTTTTTATATATATTTATTTTGGGATGATTGGCTTGGGTAAAAGCAGAAAGGGTTGGGTTCTAATTACGTATATGTTGTCTTCACCCATCATCAGCCACTGAAACCCAACCCAACAATTTATGTGTATATATATGTGATGTGTGAATGGTTGCAATGGATTCAATGGTTTGATTCGTTGAAGAGGTGGATTTCAGTGGGGGATTTGAAGGCAGATTTCGTGGTGGTAAAGGTGGCGGGGTGGGGAAGTATTGGTGGTTATGATCTAGCGGGAGGTGGGTGTCGGGGTAGGTAGAGGGACTTGATTTGGCACTGGTTTAAGGTGGATTTGGTGTTGGTTTGAGGCTGGTTTAATGAGGTAGTGGTCGTGTGGCGGAGGTGTTTTGGCGGTGGCTGGTGGCTATGCTTAAGATGGTGATGTTTGGAGGCAGTGGAGATGGCAGAAATGGTAGTTTTGGTGGCTGTGAGGGGGTAATGGTGGTGGGAGAAACAAAGAAAGAAGATGAATTACACGGGGAAAGGCAAAAAGATCATTGTCCCCCCAAAATATAGTCATGTGGGATGATGTGACAAATTTCCATTCAAAAACTTAACTTGGGTTTGTAATTGTCCTTATTTGAGAGAAAAACAAAATTTAAAAGACAAATGTGCTCGAATTAAAATGTCAAGCATTAAAATAAAATAAAATAAAAACTACGGAGAATACTTGTTCAAAATAAAAGGACACTTCATAGGAATGTCATAGCATCTGTGAGCCCTCACTTTGGGTAACCGATTGCCGACCAGATTTAACCAGATCCAAAAGAAGGGACCTACCACTAGAGCAATAGAGGAATGCACCAACTCTTAAGACATGAGATAGAGCTACGATCAAAGTATAGTAGCGTAATCAGTTTCATTGTTTAAAAAATGAACCGCTAATTGCACCTCACAAAAATCGAGCCATGCTCAACTGTGTAGAAGGAAGACACCTTTTCACCCCGCCACCACCCTGGTGGTTGATTTACATACTCATGCCACAATAGTTTCCTTGGTATTACACTCATGCCACAAGAGTTTGGACTTTACATACTCATGCCACAATAGTTTCCTTGGTATTACACTGAAAATGAAAAATAATATTCTATTATGCTGTATTTGGTTGAGAGATTTGAGGAGAGATTTGGAAAGAGAAATAGAAAAAGTAGATGAAATGTGAATAAAATATGACTACTTCACCTAGTTTCACACATTTTTTTCCTTTCATTTTTCAAATCCCTCCTCAAATCCTCCAACCAAACACAGCGTTATTGTCCAAGAAGCGTAGTTGGGATGAATATGTGAGAGAGAGAGAGAGAGAGAGAGAGAGAGAGAGAGAAGTTATTTACAAAAGAATGAATATTTAGGAAATTGATTCTTGATGCAGCCAACTTCAACATGCACATCTTCCTGTCTGCTCAATTTCTGAAATTGATTCCTGGATTCCTTGACAGTAACTGAAAACAAAATGGTGAATTAAACAGAAGGGCCTAGGTTTATAGTTTTGAAAATTTTACAAGTAAATAACATATGAAAGTCATGAAAAAAATTTGAAAATAAAGGCTTAAATACCTAATGGGAACCATATCCACACCAACCTACCAAAAGACAAATGGTATTCTATCTGTATGCCTACTTACTGATGTATCAAAACACAAAACAAAACAAAGGAATCACCAAAAAACTATCCCTGAGATATGAATGCTGGAGGTGGAAGGCTGATAGACAATTGTGGTAAACAAAAACAAAAATACAGTAATTACTTAAGGACCCAGGCATCATAGTTCTAAATGTAGACCTTTGCTCTTTTTCATTTTGAATCAAAATCACTAGGCTGAGGTAAATGTAATTTTATACAGGCTTTTGAAGATTCTATGAGGTGTAACAATCATCGATTTTTAGGAGTAGGTGATTACTAAAAATTTCCTCAATAAAACATTTACAATGAATAAGAACACGTCATCACATCAATGTTGGCAAGGCAATATCAACAAACAACTTGGCACAGAAAGCATATTTATATAATTTTATTATGCATAGAAGATGAGGAAATTGGTTGGTCCCCAATGAGTCGACGACCCAAACTTACATGTCCTGCTCATGTTGATTCAGAATGGCAGTTTTTGCTATGCAAAGGAATGCATCATCGACGTTGTAACCCTCTTTTGCTGAGGTCTCAAAATAAGGCATGCTGTTTTCCCTGGAAGCACACCACTCCCTTGCTGTCTTCTCAGAAACCTGTATGAAAGAATACTTGGACATATGTAACAAAATAAATCACAAAATAATAACTTTTCAAGTGATTCATCGTATATTCTTACCACTCTGCTATTTCCACCGTCAACATCGACCTTGTTACCAATTAATACAAAGGGAAATGTATCAGGGTCAGTTGGATCTACCTGGAGTCCCATACAAACCAATTATAACCAAACCAGAGGTAACATTCTCTCACATAATAGGCAATAAAATTGTGCAAGAGTGGGGGAAAAAATTAAAAAAAAAAAACTAGCTTCTTTCACACATTTTCTCTTTCTATCTTTTTCATTTCGTTTTCTTTTCCATTCGCACATTCAAGCATAGCGTTCAAGAATCAGCAGAACTAATTCCACAAAAAATAAAAAATAAAAAAGAGCTACCTGATTGAGAAATTCGTCATGCCAATTTTGAAGTGTTTCAAATGATTTGGGTATATTTACATCGTATACGAGGATGCAACAATCTGCCCCTCTATAAAATGCAGCACCAAGGCTCTGAAACCTTTCCTGACCTGCTGTGTCCCAAATCTATTCAACATTAACACATAGTTTAACAGAGTAGAGTTAATCAATATTTCATCTTATATACAACATACATACATTATTCAGTACTACTTTCAACCAATTACCCACTTGCAAAGTGACGTGTTTGCCATCAATCTCTACTTCTTTTGTGACAAAATCAGCTCCAATTGTGGATTTGTACTGTTGACTGAATTTCTTATAAACATATCTGGAGTGGCTGTTAACGACCCCCAAATTCAAACAACAATTTCCGACACAACAAACTCACATGTAGCACTTGAATTTAATTCCACAAACACTTGGTAAGAACATCAAATCCAGTTGTGGAGATCAAGAAAGTCCACAACTAACATCAAGGGGTTAGTTAGCCTAGTAGCAAGTTGAACCATCCATGATAAGCATCTCAGAAAGTGTAGGTTACGAGTTCGAATTTCATAAAGCATTTAACTTCTTTAGGGTTGTGACCAATTATTACAAGGGGACTAATTGAGTCGGGACAAAGCGCTGGATACCCTCGTTACAAAATAAAATATAAGTAAATAAATAAAGTTCAGAGTACAACAAGATCAATATATTTCTGGACCAATTATGTATGCAACATGTTGCCACATTATCTGAGAGTGTTGTACCAAATTCAGTTAGGTGTTAGGTGATGTGGTGGAAAGAAATCAAAGATTGCACTTATAGCCACCACCACAAATTTTCTTATCACTTCACCAACATCTCATCCAATCTGCAGTAGCTAGTTCAGTAAAATAAATATAAAGGAAATGATCATTCAAAGTACATAAATATGTATGTGTCTATCCAAATTTCGCACGGAGGGGAAGAACAACAAAGAAAGAGCAACAACTGTATTTTTATTTTACTTTTTAAATTTAAGACAGAAAATTACAAAAGTAAGAAATTAGGGAGCATCAATTTGTCTCACTAGCTCATCCAAACTAATTAAATAGGTTTATGGATACTGATTCATCAAAGATGTCTTTCCAACCCTGAAAACACACAGAAACACACCCACAAAAAAGAATAAACAAAACATACCTCAAGAAGTATTAAACCATGTAAGAGAGAGAGGGAAAGAAGAAGAAGAAGAAGAAGAAGAAGAAATTGTCAATAAAAAACAAAGGCCAAATCATACCCACTATCACCAAGGACGATGACCTTCAGCAAAGTTCTTTTTGGCATGGACATGATTCCTTCAAGAAAAACAGTAAAGTGGAAATTATATATATATATATATATATATATTTTTGGATTTTGATAACGTTAGGGCGTATGTTAAGATTTAGTCACCCCTTCAACAAACAAACAAACAAACAAACAAAAAAAGTGTTGTCTCCTTTTATGGTTTCAATTTTGTCATCAAGCATTGGCTGAATTGACAAAAAAAACAAAAACAAATGTGTTTGGCGCCAGCAATGCTTAATGTTTTTTATTTTAAAGGCATAAATAATGGTTTCTGGTTGATGACCTGTAGAACCTCAATCCTACCTGTATATCTTTATTCTTTGATTCACACATTATTATTAATTATTAATTACAATGTTATAATATTATACTAGCATAAAACCTACTATGCATAGGAGAGTCAAAATTTTATTTATAGATTAACAATAATAAAACCTTTTAAAATATATATATATATATATATTACACACTAATATATTGCACAATCTTAATTTATATTTTTCTTTATTTTTAATATTTTATTAAAAATATTTAAATTTGAAAGAGAAAAAGAGATGTGATTTTAATTGTGGTGTGAATATGATAGGGTGGAGTTAGTAGATTTTGATTATGACAGAGATTTTTAATGTGGTAATTTTTAGTAGTAAAATATACATCAAAATTAGGCCTTATCTTGTTGGGTGTTCTAAATTTTGAACCTTTATGCACGAAGAATTTTTTTTCTTTTTAGTGAACATTGGGCGACATGGTAAATAGTCTAATGATTATTAATTTTTTTTTTATATTTATTACATTTTTTATGATCAAATAGTTATGATTGAAATATAGTTAAATATCTGACCCAATTGATCATGACCACATATGCCAATTAATTTATCTAATACTTAATTGTTTTCACCATCTAAAAAAAATTAGGTGTTTTTATTTATTTTTATTTGTAGTAGAATAAGATAAGTATTTTTAATATTCAATTTTTTTTTAAAGTTTAATAAATAGTTATGATTAAGTTATAGTCAAAATATTTAACCCAATTGGATTATGCCCCATGTAATAGATGTTTTTAATTTTGATTTTTTAAATTTAGCCAATAATATAATTGAATTGTAGTCATGTCTAATCCCATTAAATTGTGTTACTTATATCAATAAGATAGTTGTTTTTAATTTTTAAATTTAGCAAACATGATTAAAGGATGATTCAATAGAAACCAAATTGATACTATTAGTTGATCAGTTTTTTTCATAAGGAGTCTCAAGTTTTTTTTTGAAAGGAAATAAGATTAAGAAGAAAAATATCTTAATATAAAACTCATCATTTAATAAAAAGAGCCATAATATCTCACACTTAAGCTAAATAATATGAATAATATCTAACAATTGACTTTTGCCAATCCAAATATATATATATATATATATGAATAATTATTCAAACTAAATATTGATAATTTTTATACCACACAATTTATTAATAAAGTTCTCACATAAACAATAGAATAGACAAAAGTGAAAATAAAAACAATGCAAAATAAATAAATAAAGAACAGAAAAAAACATATATCAATTTAATAATTGCAATCAATCATTGAAATGAATTTTTAAGATATCATATATAACTAATAATTAGATCAATAGAGACTAGAAATGTATAGTAGTAATTATACCAAATATTATAGGACAAATGATACATTTGAGAAACATGCATAATATATATATATATATATAGATATATATTATAGTGAGATATGTATTATAGTGAGTTAAAATGAAGTGATTGATAATTGTAATATGTATAAATTATTCAATAAATTTTTTTTTCAAGTACTATCACAAATTACATGCAAAGATTTATAAATCTAGAGCAATTGCTTGAAAAAGTTTATAGACGTAAGTAGATTTTATGTAAAACTATATAGACTGTATGTAAATTTATATGAATTTGAACATGTTGCTTAAAAAGATCTATCATTAAAATATACAATAGAATAATAAAAAAAAAATTACACGAAATTTTTTATGGCTTCAAATAGATTTCAATTAAAAAAATGATTAACCTTGAGGGATTGTTTGTAAAGCTCTATGTATATTATAATCTTCCCTAGAGAGGAAAAATAAATAAATTATTGGAGTTGACGTGGGTAGGCCCATAAAGGCCATAACCCACTATGAATAACCCAAGCCTACCATTTAGGGCCCAATACATAACCCAACTGATAAGGCCCAGCACAGCTGGAAGTCAACATAACTTGAAGGACCAATGATATTCAGACACGTGGCAGGTAAAGGGAAAACCACATCAGCAGACAAAGATCTACAAAGTTATTACCACTGCACATCGCCATTAATGTAGCCCCTCACAGCATTTATTACGACAACACCTCTCCGTCAGGACAGTACGCCCTCACCCTAAACAAGGTAAGCTATAGCATAGACTTTTGGCCAAAGTGACAGGTCGAGAGGGACAACGAAATGATTACCAAATGATATAAGTAGACGTTGAAGACAAGAAGAAGGTTAAGCTTTTCTATCTTTAATTCTTATCCCTACATCCCACTTCCTCTTCTTCTAACTTGCTCGTCGGAGGGTTTGCTGGGGGACTCCCCGTTCCCCGTTGAACTCGTGTGCAGGTTCATTGGTGGGCTTAACCATTCAGATACCGGTTGGAGAAGCATGGACCAATCCGACCCATTCCATCTGGAGCCCGTTATATCATAACTGTATCATCAGTTGGCGCCGTCTGTGGGAATGCTTTGCTCCGCGCGCCAGTTGTGCTCATTGTTGCCGGAGACCCTGTCAATAACCCTTTCCTGCTACCCATCAAAGTGTATGGTCACGACTAGATCTATGACTTCTCATCAAAATGCTGCCGACCACCAAGCCGACCCCCCCAATCTAAACAACCCACCACAGTATTTCATCGAGCTTATCAACAGCATTAACCGCATGGCCGAGCAAAACCAAGCTCTGATAAATGCTCTACTCCAAAGAAACCTTCCTATGCTTTCTCCACCACCTCCCGATATTCTGCCCAACCAAGAACGAGCCCCGAGCCATACTATCCCGCAGCCCTATCCACCCAACTTGGAAGGCTTCCAACCTCCTCCTCCTAATATAAATCCACTACCCCGACCCCCACATCCATCGGTCCTTGCACCAACCCCTGAAGGGGAAGCCAGTAGCGTCTAACCCCCGCTACCTTCCGGTGGTGATAACATCCCTTTCTGGGATGCAGAACTCCGAGCCATGAAGCTCCAACTCCAAGGGGTCATGCAGAACATCCAGCATAAACCCTCTACCACAACAAACTCACCATTTGTCGCCTCCATCCGGGACAAACCTCTACTCCCCAAGTTCAAAATGCCCACCATCGACTATTTTGACGGTATGACGGATCCAGTCGACCATCTGGAGACCTATAGAACCCTCATGATCCTCCATGCATTCCCTGACGAGATCATGTGTCGAGCTTTCCCCGTGACACTGAAGGGGTCAGCTCGGCTGTGGTTTAACCAGTTACCAGCAGACTCTGTCTCCACTTTCCAGCATCTCAGTGACTCCTTCCTCAGCCATTTTATTGGAGCCCAGCACCAACGCCATCCGACAACCCAACTCCTCAACATCCGCCAGTCCGAGGGGGAGTTCCTGTGCAGTTTCGTTACCCGCTTCAACACTGAAGCCTTGTAGGTGGCGGAAAACGATGATAAGGTCATCCTTATGGCTTTCATGGTCGGACTACGGTCATCTGATTTTATCTTCTCCCTCTCTAAAAACCCCCTACCTCCATGGCAGCCCTACTCTCCAAAGCCCAAAAATACATGAACGCAGAAGATTCCCTAGCTGCTCGCCAAGACACTACAGCAAAAAACCCGACCCCCCGAGAAAAGCGAAAAGACTCAGAAACACCCAGTACTAAACACCCCACTATACCGACCGACCCCTCAGAGTTGACTGTACGGCATCAGCCCGACCGCCTAGTCGGTTCGAACGGTACACACCCCTCAATTCCCTCATGGAACAAGTCCTCAATCAAATCCAGCGGGAATACTCCCTCAAATGGCCCCAACCATCACGAACCCCTTCCAATCGGAAAGACCAGTCCAAATGTTGCTGTTTCCACCAGGACCACAGCCAAAATACCGACGAGTGCGTCAACCTCAAAGATCAGGTCGAGACCTTAATACGTCAGGGACGCCTTAGCCGGTTCACGGACACCCGCCCTCAGTAGAGGCAAAGGACTGAGCCTCTCAGAAACAACCGCCGGCGCACCTTTCCCTAGCAGCCAGCCCAACCAAACTAAGGCCATGATTGCCCTCCACAGCAGCCTCGGCCGCAAGGTAATCCCCCCCACCTATTGGAGAAATCAGAGTTATTTCAGGTGGCATTGCTTGTGGGAAACAATCCCACTCGGCTCAGAAAGCAGAACTCAAAAAGATAAGGCAGGGCTCAGACAAAGCAGTTGCCACGGTGGACCAACCCTCCAAACAGCCCAAGCAGTGGGCCGAGCCTATCACCTTCACGGACGTCGACTGCGCAGGCATTTGTTACCCTCATGATGACCCTCTCGTCATTTCTGCCCTCATCTCCAACTACAAGGTCAGACGAGTTCTCATCGACAACGGCAGTTCTTCAGACATCATCTTCCTCAACTGCTTTCGCCAGCTCAAGATTGGGGAGAAAAGTCTATCTCCTCTCCAAACCCCTTTGGTCGATTTCACTGGTGACCGGGTGACCTCCATCGGCTCCATCGATCTTCCTATCACAATCGGCGAGTACCCGCGTGTCACAGCCCAAACCCGGCCCTATGGGTTTAGCACCGTAACCGGCCAGTAATCCGAGATTACCGAAGGCCTGCTTAACAGTAATACAGTAAAACAGAGTACAGGGCCTGGCGGAAGCCAATACAGTAAGGCAGAATCTGTTGAGGCTATCAAGAAGGTTCTTGAGGCCCAGAAGAGAGAAGTCGAAGAAAAGATGGCCCAGGCCCAGATAGAACTGCAAGACGCTCTGGCCACCAAAGAGGCCGAAGTCAAGGCAACCGATTAAAAGGGTTACAACGAATGGGTGGCCGACG